ATCTAAAAATAGCCCATGCATATCATTAACCTTACCACGTGATGATTTATAGATAGCGCATCGTATCTGGGAACATGCTTATTAATTAAATGAAATGTGCACACTTGTTTCCTTTCAGTATGATAGATCTTCACGTTAGTATTTTTACGATTGATTATTTTCTTTATTAGTTTTATACAATAGAGAATAGATTTCAAATCGTTTTGACAAAAATATTCGTTTTTACAAAAATAAAAACAAATAAATATGTTGGGATGAAGGCACAACTGTGCAAGCCTTTCCTTTTAAAAGGAAACTTTATTTGAGTTGAGACAAAAATAAGAAGAAAATAATGAGAAATGAACACATGTCGACCCAAACTTTTCTTTTTGAAATAGTGTCCCGTAGTGGAAAACAATTTTATATTGTAGCAAAATATATAACATTTTCCAATTTCATTTGGTCATGTTTTCAGGAAATTATGTAAGATTGTTACATGGTCAGCGATTGGCTGAAAAACAAGTGCAGGGAAAAACCTTTAGATTCAGTGAGCCATGAAGTGATTGGATGATAATGGGATGTTTTTAGTATTAACATTAATTTAGAAACTAACACTGCATTGTTTGCTCCAAATAATACTTGAATATTTCATAATTTTCTACGATAATTTGTGACTTGGATATTTGCATCTATAAAAAGTATATGTCAGTCCCGTGATCAGCAGAAAAATTCAATGAAAGGGGGTTGGGGAGGGAGCTATTCTCTTTTAAGTAATTTACAAAAAGTTTGGTTTGCTACCTCTATGTAAAAATATCACTTTTAGGTGTCAGTCATTTCATTCTTATAGAAAAATCACCCTCTTTAAGTCTATGAGAATATCATAAAATAGCATAACGAGTAAGTTTTCAATAATACAAAATTGGGTGTTTATGATGAAAATTATAAATATATTTTTGCAAATGTATTTTGACGAGTATATCGAAAATTCGCAAAAACCTCCGGTTGTTTTGTAAGCATTTGTTTTTCTTCAGAAAGAGTTTAAGTATCTTAACATTCAAAGTTATCATCTGCTACAAATCTAGTAAGAAACATTGATAAAATTTTGTATAAAATCTAAATGCATGACTGACACATTGGTTAGCGGTTTTAAAATTTATGATAATTGTTTTATAGAATTATTCTAGCATTAAGAAATTTGGCGTATTCTAAAGTGTTAAATAACTTCATGAAGATTGGGCATATTCTTTTTATGTGTGATTCTGAATGGGAAGTGGTAATAAAACATATTGTGTACTATTTTAAAGACACATTATGCCACAGAAATAATTGTTTTTTCCTGCTTTAGAAAGGGTAAAAATGAGTATTTTTAGGTTTAAATAATGATAGCTTTTGAGAAATAAAATTAAAATCATATCCGGGACATTATAGGACTATAAGCAATGAATGCGCGAATAGTTTCATATTATTGAATTGTACCAAGCAGCATTTGAGCCGCGTCACGACAAAACCAACATAGCGCGTTTGCGACCAGCATGGATCTAGACCAGCCTGCGCATCCTTGCAGTCTGATCAGGATCCATGTAGAGAAACTGATAGCGAACAGCATGGATCCTGATCAGACTGCGCGGATGGATCCATGCTGGTCGCAAACGCACAATGTTGGTTTTGTCGTGACGCGGCTCATTTATTTTTCGCTCGTGTATGAACTTATTAAATATTTTGAAACAAATGTTGCGGTCACTCAGATCTAATATTTTGTCTTTTGTTGATCCCCTGCACCATTTAGTTGAAATATTGTCGGAATGTCGTACGTGCGGATTATGTTTATTCTAGAATACAACAAGTAAATATAAAACACGTATGCCTGGTAAATTAGCTATCCTCCTTCACTTTATTAAATAGAGCATCTTAGATCAAATAAGGAGATAAAACCAAAAAAATGTTAGAAAAGCGGAAATCAGAAATCAAGATTCGTAATGCTAGTACAGGTCAACGGAAACAAACATCTAATTATCTAAGTAGATGGGAAGTGGTCATTTAGTTGAAGATGACAAAAATATCCATTTTAGATAAGTAAGCAATTAAAGAATAGTTATCACAAGCTGGTATTCGGGTCATTCACATTATGTTTTGATGATGAATCCGAAGTAATTGACATAATCGTGTCATTTTAAACTTTAGTTTGTAAAAATAATATAAGACATTCGTTTACCTATATTTTACGTTTAACTGAATAATACTCGTATATAAGTCCGATTTATGTTCTTTCTTACATCATGTACATTAAGCCTTCGCCGTAGTAAACGAATATAAAAATAAAACTGATAATGCTGATTGAAGGCGAATTAGTATTATTTCTAGTTTCCAAAATTTTATATTCTCTCTTAAAATTTACAATTTATTCTTTCATCTGAGAGCCTCCTTTCGTTAAATTGGCATCAGATATTTTTATTTGTGAAAAAGGTCGTACCTAACAACAACAAAACAGGACAAAAAAACAAAGTCCGCTATTTAAAGAATTTCGTAAGTAGGCGGATTTGTTATATGTTTTGCGTAAATATTCATCAATACTCAATAGTTCTCAAACGGAAGCTTTTTTTCTGAAGGCAAATATGAGCCGTGTCACGACAAAACCAACATTATGGGTTTGCGACCAGCATGGATCCAGACCAGTCTGCGCATCTGCGCAGTCTGATCAGGATCCATGCTGTTCGCTATCAGTTTCTTTACTTGTAATAGGATCTGTAAGCGAACAGCTTGGATCCTGATCAGACTGCACGGATGCGCAGGCTGGTCCGGATCCATGCTGGTCGCAAACCCATTATGTTGGTTTTGTCGTGACATGGCTCATATATACAAGTAACTCTCTCATGCTAGCCTATCCAACCAACATCCTGCGCATTGGATACAAATAAAACGAATGATTTTCTTTCTTCTGAAACGCTAATACATGTAATGTTCTGTACATAGTTTTGACAATTATATTTTACGTTTTGTCTTAATTTAATGGCATGCTTTTCTTTGAGTTTCGTTCTTATTTACCTGACTGTCAACGGCCGTATATTTTTAGGTGTGTGAAAATTGTCGTTAAGAGACCTGAAACGGCAGTAATAGGTCATTTTCCTTTACATTAAGAAATGCTTACCCCAGCCCCTTCCTCCCATTTCGCAGCTGTCTTTGGAATATTCTGATTGAACTTTTACCACAAGTAAAAAGTGTTTCTGAACAGTTCCTTTTAACAGGTGTAGCTATATTTCTTATAATTATCTTCAAACGAAACATCAAAGAACCCGCACACAGATAATCCTCCGTTATTTTTATTTGGATAATCTGTTGCTTAGACCAAGTGCTTCTGTTGCAAGTAGACTCTTCTTCAAATAAGTTTTAACATAAATGAAGAACATATTTTTTTTAAACCACGCACGAGTGGCCTTCCTGTCAAACCCATCAAGACCTTCCTACCCATCTATAAAATGAACACACACAACTATCAGTTGCATCTGTTTTTTATATTCAAACTTTATTGGCCATTTTCAACTCTAGTGCAAATTAAACTTTCTTGTGGTATTTAGCGGAGCATTAAAAAATCCCCAAACATTTGTAAAGATCCTGTTTTATAGTTTTGAAAAAGTTACAAAAAGATTTTATGAGTATGAGATAATAAATGTATTTTTATTGGTGTATTGAACATTTTATTATATACAATCATGTGGTTTTCATTTTATACATGCATTCCCACATGATATCTTATATAACACACACTATAGACGCAATTCTATTTTTAAAAGGAAAAAATACAAAAATATTAGTAATAACTAATAAGACACAAGGTAAAGGCGTCTCCCTCACGATCATTGGCCCTGAGGTTCGAGCGTTAATGGTAACGAATGTGTTTTCTCATTCAACATATTAAGTACTAACCAGTTCAAGAGATAAATCAAGTGTGAAAACTAATGCGATATGAAACGTTATTTTTATGATATTGAGAGAAAGAAAGAAAGAAAGAAAAGAAAGAAAGAAAGAAAGAAAATGAAAGGAAAGCAAAGGAATGAATGAATGAAAGAAAAAAAAAGAAAGAGAGAAAGAAAGGCATGTGAAGAATTTTATATAACAAATTTTAATCTCTGGAAAAAAATTACTTAATTTTTAGATTATTGACTTGTTGATTTAATTGTCTTTGTGTACCTATTTTGTTATCATGTTGTGTTTGGAACTCGTTTTAAGTATAAAAAAAATCCTTCTATCATGAACGAAATTCGTTATTTTAAGTAATGAAATTGTTGTTTAAAATATAAAACTCTTAAGTATTAATTTTGCGTATATAAATATTGAGGGTCAAACTGCGGAGAAAAGGGATAATTAGACAAAAGACAAGGTGGGCTGGGTTCTTACGTCGTGTGTATATGCATTTACTGTTTGATAAACGTTATTTATAAACGCTGACTCACTAACCAAAGCAGTGAAAGCTACGATAAGTAAATTGTTGCTGACTTTTCTATCTATCATCACATCAAGTTAGGAAGTTTTTTTATACATATATACATACCTACATCCTTAGGTTATAGACTATGTTGAATCATTATCCCTTTATCATTGTAGCATGACACATTCACGATAAGTTTAACTTTTATATTATAATGAACTTCTCGAAGTTTTGACCATTTTACACGGGTAAATGACAGAATAAAGGTACTCAAGGGTTAACGAACGATAGAGCAAGAATTCTCATTTTTTTGTTGTTAATTTTTCAGATTGAATGGATTAAAGTGTCAAGTTTCGTTTCGCTTATTTAAATATCTTACAGCTGTGATGAGGAAAGGCTGGTTTTTATCTAGAAATATAAAAAAAGAAATTTATGCTGGTGAAATACAACATTTAATGATACCAAGGTTTAAATATACATATATTTATATAAACAGTTTATGAATTACTATAGAATAGTATATAAACGGTTGTGTTAAGTATATAAGCTTCATTCATCATTCTATATTAAGATAACTCAGGAAGTGCGTAGGTGAGTGGTTTTACAAACACACAACCCTTCTACTTAATTATATTTAATTAATTGCTTAACATAACAATTCGAGGCGTTGGACACAAGTCTATTTTAAATACCTACATCATTTTACAAATCGCTCTGGGCAAACATGATGTGTTTTTAAAATTATAAACGAGGAAAGCAGACGAGCATCAGTTGCAGACGACATTTGAGCCAGGTACGCAAACGCGCGTGTACTCTGTTGAACTTCTTCTGCCATCACGTGCAAATCAACCATTCTGAGTGTTACATTGTTTTTCGTCTGGTGTGTGGTTTTGAAGAAGTGCTAGGTTAGCTCGCCGTTCTTTTTTTCTGTACTTTGTTGTGGATTATTATTAATAATATTCAAAGAACATAATAGTAAAGGGATTTTCGATATTTTCGACTGTGCAGCGTCTGTAACCGAGCTGGCTCATTAAATCTTGTTTGGTAAGTGCGATATTACTCAGGTAAGCTTATTAACTAAGTTCATTTTTTGTTATCATAATTGCATAGGTAACAAATGTACTGACGAAAAAGTCAAGCGCATCCCAAACGGATTACTAGTCTATAAAAATTAAAAGTGTACAGTACCGCAAAAATAATTATGATCTCATGTCAAGCGGAACGGAACATATACTTGTGCACATACTCATATATTGTTTTATGCATCATAATAATACGTGCAATGAATAAGGTTGTTAAAAAATCATTTCTTACAGATAAAGATCTACGCTCATTATTGAATGAATAGTGTTAAAATTTGTTGGAACTTATTAGTTAAAAAGCATTTTTGAAAAGAATTTAAACAACATTTAAACTTAAATTATACATAATTTCAATTGTAAAACTCACGGATAATTCGAAAGTGTTTTTATTTCTTGTTTTCTTTGATATGAATATGGGTTTTTATTATTCAACTATTTACAGGATAAAGACAGTTTTAATAGACGATTTACCAAAATATTGTGATAATGAAATATTCGCTGACGTCTGGAGAGTGCAATAGTCCGAAGAGTCCCGAAGTTGTGATTTTCCCGCCAAAATTTACAAAATCAGGTGAGAACGATTTATTTGATTTCTGCTAGAAAAACACAATATATTTGTGAACAATTTATTTAACTGTTATAAAGTTGTTTTTATTTGGTTAAACAATTTTATTGAAGTCACTTTTAATTAGAGAAAATAAAGACAGCATTAGTGTAAACGTAATACTCGTTATATCAAGAAAAGCAGATGGTTATCTTTAAAAAAAAAATCAGTTTTAATAATAATCGTTTTGAAAAGAAAAATACGGAAGCGTATCAGGGCCTACAATTGGTGAGATGTTTTGCGCTAAGTCGACTTATTTTTATTTGCATTGATAAGATGTTTTTGCATTTCTCAATAATATTTACTGACAAAGATGAGAAGCTTTTAGGCATTGCAACTGACTTTTTCTCGATAAGCTTGAAGTGTTTGTTTCTTCGACAACAATTCTGTCGAAACTTCTTGATTTCACGACTTTGATGAAATATTTAGTAAGACGCAAAGACGTTACTCGCATTGACAAATAGCTCACATAATTCAACAAAGTTGTGTTGCAATGATTAAAAACTTCTACGTATTACGTATAAATCATAAAGTCTTCATAGAATGTTTTATGTATAACGTATTAATCATAACGTTTTCATGGAATGTTTTTGGTCAAAACGAGAAGAAACAAGTTGACATGACGTGAAACCTTTAGATAAGTGGAGGCCCTGATAAGCTTCCTTAAAAACACATTCATAAGGTTAACTTAAATGTATGTAAAAACACACAGACACATTAATTTTCACCAACATTATTAACAATGTGTTCTGACGCAATTTCCTAAATTAATATAGTCAACAAAATAAACATGATCCGTTTTCATGAATAATTAAATTATACAATTGTGACTTTAGACTTTACAATACTAAATATCAGTATGGACTTTAAATTATTCATATATTTTTTCCCCTGATATCATTTTACCATATTTAGGTTTCATTGTTAATTATGACTTGTAATGATGGTGGAATTTTTGCTAAGTAATCTAACATAGTACCATTGTCAAAGTTAACAAATATAGAGTAAATATAATAGTTAACGTTTTTTAAAATACTTTTAATCAGGCTCTTTCAAATAGAATGGCCTGGAGTCTGACCAATTTTACGAACAAAGATGTCTCGGCTGACTCACATGATTAGTTTATCTACCAATCGTGATCTGGCATAGTGTATCACTGTTCAAAAATCAAATAGAGCAACAATAATTAAAACTAATCCTAGCTTCATTACATTATCAGTTTTTACTTTAAAAACTAACACTTTTATAGATTTGCAAGAAAATTAGGAATGTTTCGTTCTCGGTGTCAGTGTAAGAATCTCCTGCTCATATTAGAGTTCATAAGCAGTTTTGGAATCTATTCATTGTTCAATGACAAAATAGAAATTGGTTTTACAAAGAAAAAATATTATTTAATCGTATCACGTAAATATTTTATAATATTTCACGATATTATTTACAAATATTTGATGTTAAATTTGGAAAGACCAGTTTTAATGTTTTCTTTTTAGACTTAAATTGTCATTACATCTACGTCTTCTGTATTGTTTCTAACTATTTTAAATTGTTTTTATATTCCTTTCGTATTGCACTATAAATAGTCAATATGCAGAAATAAAATTGTGAAATTTATTACTTATACCATGAATCTTAATTTGTAATATAAATCCGTGCTTATATGAAACACTTATTTTCTATATATCTATTTTTAATAAATATATAATGATAACAGTTTAAAGGTATATGCTACAAATACAATATATGTAAACGCCATCTTAGTTTAAAGCAGCATGCCTCCAGATTCATTCTAATTTTTATGAAAAAATTTAAATGAATTTTAAAGTGAAATATTTTGAAAGGAACAAAGAACTTAATTTACGCATTGTAAACGACAGTTACAATCCACATAAATTACCAAAAAAAAAGGAGGTAAAAATATGCAAGATTAGTCCTTACTGTGTTAGTCACGCAGTAAAAATATATTGATTAATACTGCAAAATCAGTCATTTATTGCACATTATATGTAAATTATGAATCAAATCTTAAATTTTCTTGAAAAATCTGTATATACTTTTCTTAAGTTTGGTGTTCTTGAAATACTTTTAGCTAATCTGGAGGCATGCAACTATAAAGGTCTTTGGCCTTTATTGAAATTGTTTCATGATATCCATTTTAGTTTTCAAATGACAATACATATGTACTTTCATTATCACATTCTTACTGTTCGATTCTGATTGAAATTGAAGGCTATTGACCCTTTAAACTTTAGAACAAATTAAAAAGAAAACGTAGGTTAATATCCTATACTTGTCGAAAAATAACAATTGAAATAAAATGTGAAATTTAATTCGTGAATGTATAGATAATGGTTTCAAGAATTCTGTGACTAAGCATTATAATTTTACCGAGCTAATAGGTCATTCATCTTAAGTGGGCGTTAAAATGTTTGCTCTTACCGGTCAAGTTTCAGCTTTATGATCGGCATTTTTTTTTATATTATTTGTACGAAAGTTACCGAGATATGTCATCAAACAATCACACAATTTCAATGTAACTAAATAAAGTCAATTGCATCATTAACATATTTAAGTTTCCTTTTATTTTATTAGAAGTTTACGGTCGCACTCAGTGTATATACTGGATGTACCTTTTTATGTTCTGCTGCCACTATTATACTATCAAAATATGTATCACAACTTATGTGGTTTATCAAAGCATGTAATGAATGGTATTTTATACAAGTTTCATTGTACACAAACAAATGTTGCACTCATAACGAACGCAATAACTGTGAATTAAACATTCCATAGTAGAATTAATTGTTAAAGGGAAGTTAATCTTACTGTAGTGTGTCTATTTGATAATATTGGTTAAGTCCCGTGTTGATTTACATAAGTACAATAGCCTAAATTTTCGTCGATATTACGCAGTATGAAATATCTATATAATTGTTGATACTGGGATTAGTGTTCGGACTGTTTAGAACATCCTTTTCACCCTAAATAAATTGATGCAGCGATCTGTAATAATTTCTGGTATTACCGTATATTATAAAATTATGGGCGATACCCGGCACACATTTAAATGGTTGCGTTTTGATCTAAGACAAAAAGTTTAAGTATGTCAGATTTATAAGTTAACATTGTTACATGCATAAATAGACCAAACTGGTCATGAAATGTTTAACTTATTTTATTTCGGTTTACCATAAATATATAACGGAATGCTGTAAATAATGTAACCTAAAATATATCGCAGAATATAGCAAAATGTTAACATAAATGTATCAAAAAATGTTTTAAAGTTTTCACAACATGTTAACTAAAAGATATCAAAAATATCGCAAAATGTTAACATAAATGTATCAGGAAATGTTTCTAAGATTTTGAAGAATGCAAAGTAAAATATATAAAACATAAATATATCAAGCATGTTGTATCACTCAATGGTTGTATAGATTTCACAGAATGTAAACATAAAAATGTTCAGCTATCAAAGAGGTCACAAAGAAAAACTGAAAACCAGTACAACCATTAAGAGTTTGTACCGCTCGTACGTTTTATCTGTTACACAAATATAACATATATAAAAGATATGTGTGCAAACAAAATATGCCCTATATAGCCTATGAAATCAAAAAACCTTTTTTCAATGTGATCCTAATTGATCATCATCATTATCATCATCATCATGATTTTGATTATGATTATGATTATTATTATTATATTTTTATTATCATTATTATTATTATTTTTATCATTTATATCATAAGTATAATTGAAACCCTAGGTTGGTGCTTCAAAAGTGCTGAATTTATGTTTCAAGTTTTCTAACTTCAGAGACCAGATAATAAATCAATTATTTAACTAGCAAGGTTAGTGAGTAAATAAATCAAACGATCAAGGTCGAACGAATAAACCACTTTGAACAAATGAATAAATTACTATGTACTATTTGACCCGCTACTGCGGTTTCGCCTGCTATAATATTAAATATCTTATTTAATATTCATACTTAGTTTCATTAAAGAATTAAAACTATTATTATTAGGTGTATTAAAGTAAATATAAGCATGAGTCATTTCCACTGACGTTTAAACACCTTTTCTTTACAATTCTCTCTTATCTATATCAATAAAGTTTAACACTCATTCAGACGTTTACCGAGGGGTTAACAGTAGTAGTCTATAGTAGTGAACAAAAAAAACTTGCGGTTGAAACGCTTTAATGTATTACTTAAAGTAAGGTAGACGCACAATTTGATACCTGGTTAATTTTGAATTTAAAGCACTTACAATCACCTATTAAAACACGGAAGACGATTTCCTATTATTGAGTTAGTCATACGAATTTTGGGTGAATACCCTAGATAAAGTAATGGTAGTAAAATTAGAATATTGACATTTACGAATCCGGACTCCAAAATTGTTAACAGCAAGTTAGAACCTTACAACTTAAATGCCCATGACGGTTATTCCCTTGTTAAGTAGATTAAAAGTGTGGAAAGAATATGGACTCACCTGTATTCACAGAAACTGGTAAGAGAATAATATTATATGATTAGGGAAATGGTTACTGTGACTGTTGTTTTAAATATGTTCGGCAAATGAGTTTGTATATTTATATATTTGTCTATCAATCAATATAAGTGACCACGCATCATTGCGGCGCTTTTGAGTGGCCACGCATCATTGCGGCGCTTTTGTTTTGTCAATCTTAAAAAATAATAGATAATGATTTTTTGCACACTTCAAATGTTATTCATAAAGAATAAAGTGAAAGACTTTTGCTGTTTTTATAAAGTTTAAGAACAAATAGCAGATTTTACATTGAATGGTTTGAACTGTACCAGTATTAGCCCATGCTCTCTCTGATGGTTTGATATTTTAATGTTTATATATATATTGTAAATGCATTAAAAAAATACCAAAAGTGATTTCAAAAAATATATAATGCATCAAATGTATATGAATGAAGATTTTTGCAAC